CATGTGTGTCGAAACAGGTGGCAGCAATGGAGATGTTTTCAAGGCAGCGGCGAATCCACTGCTGTTCATATCCCGCCCTCTCATACACCTGGGAGAGCTGCTCCATGGCTTGAGTGACCGCTTGCCGTGGTGTGGCCAGTCTGGGCGCCCAAAATGGCGCGGGCTGTTAAACTGCTACGCAGCACTGTGGGTGGTGATGCTGAGTGTGGGGAAAGGATGTCTGTTAAGTGGTGTGTCGGTATGTAATGGATGCTGCGGGTGTGTGGTTGGATTGTAAACCCGAGGAAATCGAAGCCGGGTTCGGTCTCAAGATGTATGGGGTGGCCGTACAAGTGGGGAGAAAGAAATTGTTGAAAGTGTGTGCTGTGGCGCGTGCACGTTGGGATGAGGCATAGTCTGTTGTCAACGTAGCGGGTAGCGAAAAAGCCGCTGATGGTGAATTGGGGTGGTGTGGTGTGCTTGAGGTTGTAGGTGAGGTTGCGGTATGTGTGGGTCCAGGATTGCTCGCTTACGGCTACGACCATGTCGCAAAGGGTGGGACTGGCCGGTGATCCCATAGGGGCTCCTCGGATCTGTTGGAGGAGTGTATTGCCGACCAAACAGTAATTGAGCATCAGCACTGCTTTGCAAATGTTGGGTAGGTGTGTGACGTGGATGGTGTGTCTGCGGGATTTGGCGAAACGAGCGCGGCCTCTGTGGACTCGCATCGTAGGATCTGGTTCGCGGTGTGTTGCTGTGAATGTTGTTGCGTGTGTTGCATTTTTGCCTCTGTACCACTGTGTCATTAGGTTGAGGCTGGTAAGAAATCGTTCCGTTGAAATGCTTGTGAAGAAGCCGGAGAGGTCCTGGTTGTAAATGTCGATGTCAAAGACTTCGTCGGTTGAGACTGTGCTAAGGGTGTCAAAGGCTTGTCGAAGAGAGGAAAGCTGGTGGTGTGCGTCTCATCGTCCCAGGGCCTGTGGGCAGGCCTGCCGCAGCATAAGGTAAATGATGTCTGCGAGGTCGTGTGTGAGTGGACGCTCCTACGAAAGATACGATTGGTCTGCCCTTGGCATATTGTTTCTTTGCCTTGGGTAATGTATATGCGGTGGGGAGCTTTCCCCAATCCCGGAGCGCCCAGCGGTATTGCGGCAAGAGCTTGGTGATGGTGTTGTAAGTGTTGAGGTGGTGTGTTAGTGGTGGGGTGTCGATGACGTGGAAAACGTCTGGGTCAAGAAAGGTGGCACTTACTGCTTCGTAGTATGTGTGGGGGCAATACCACATGAGTCTGTTGGGGTGGTGGTCTTCGCAGTGAATGATTCCGTCCGGAATGTGTTTGACGGCGTTTTTGATGATGTGGATGTTGAGAAACGTTTGTGAATGTTGATTGTGTTGCTGGAGTTGCTGTTCGATGAATGCTGTGGTCTCCTTGTCTTGTGGTGTTGGAATGGGGAGGTGATATTGCCTGTGCCATCGTTGTAAGGCACGAAACAGTGTTTGTCTGAGTTTGTTTGCGGAAGGGAAGAATGTGCTTCTGCCAGAATACTGTAGGAAGTGTTGATCTGGTGCGAGGTTGTGCAACGGTAGCACCATGTGGTCGTTGTAAATGTGGTCCGGGTGTTTATTGTGGAGCTGTTTGCAGGTACACTGAGGCGGGTTGTGTGGTTGCCATGTTCTGCGGAGTTTTCGCCAGTTGTGCAACTGGTCTTGAACTCGAGGGTGTCGAGCGAATACGACAGTTGTGGATGGAGGGTATAGTGGAATGGTGTGTTGTTTGTGTGTGATGCGTTGTCGGAGGTATTGGGACGTGTCGGCGCGTTGTTTTGAGTGGCAAGGTAAGATAATTTTGCTGGTAGTCGGCTACTGGGTGCGGGGAACTTGCGTTTTTTCAACGCCGTACCGATGGCTTTTGTTGCTGGTCGTTGGTGAGTTGCGGGTAGGTTGCTGGAGAGTTTGTGTAGTGCATACAGCTGAGCTGTAGGTGTGCTGGTTTTGAGTAGCTCTCTTGTGCTGTCAAAGCGACGTTTTGTGTTAGAAGCAAGGTTGCAAATGGTCTGCCAAACTTGGCTTTGTCGTTGAAATGTTGGTGACTTGTGTAAAGGCTGTTTGGCTGGTGGTAGATGCTTGCGTCGTACTTTGGCCCAAATCAATGAGTCCGGACCGTGAAGGTATAGTGTTGCGCGTGGGCTGGGAAATGCCTCGAAAGGCCTGTTTCATGTGGGGTGCGATGTGAGGGAAATTGAGCTTGGGTTGGAAGTGTTGGATAAATGTGTGCTCCTGTGCTTCAAGGTGTTGCGATAGGATGTTGTGTTGAATGACGAGTGGAGTGTACTGGTGGTAGTTATGGTGTTTCCCCCACCAACGTAATGACAGCTCGGCGTCGATGATGGCGTCTTTCTGTAATTGTCTGAATTTTCTGTTGCGGTTGCTTTCTCTGGTGTGCATGTTGTTGTGCGTGCATCCAATGTAAATGAATCGGTGGTGTTTTTGGCAGGTGGTGACGCGGGCGTAAACTACGCCAGTGCTGTTGAAATGTTCAGAGGTGAAGTGGAGTAGTGTAGGTGTGTGCGGTGACAGAGGTGTCATATGATGCGTAGGTGGCCTCGTTGTGCTGGGCTGTGGAACTTGAGAGCATGTAACAGAATGCATCGGCCAAGTAGCCAGAGGCAGACTGTGTGTGCTTTGGTGGAAGAGGACTCCGCCTCAGGTAATAGGTGGAATAAAGTGGTTATGGTGTTGGTGAGGTGTGTAGCGTGCTGTTGAAATTGTACGTGTAGCAAGTGTTGCGTAGCTGGTTCTGCGAGTCACTCGGTGAGGGGAGCGATGACGCTCAGGATGCGGATCAAGTGTGATGTCTGCAGTTTCTTGATGTGCTGGGGTGGCAGTCCCCACGTTTCGGCATTCTTCCGCAGTTGTTCGTCTTGCTCGGATGTTAGTTGAGGATACTGCTTCAGTAGCTCCTCCGTGTGTGTCTGGAGCTGGTGCTTCTTTTTGTCCTGTATTCTCAACGTGCTTATCCACCTTTTTGTTCTACTGTCGGAATAGGCTCCAGTGAAATTCTGGGTGAACCACTGGGACGGCCCCGGCGGAGGTGAGAAAATGTCTGGCTTTTCCGGTTGTGCCGGTGCTCCCGGTAATTGGGTCTGGATTTTGCATCTTTGTAATGCCGCGATAGGGCTGTCTGTGACAGAGACTGCTGAGCTGGCGTGTGGTGCTGGTGAAGGAGTTGGTGAGGGTGTGGGTGCAGGTATGGGGGATGGCTGCTGTGGTTGTGATGCGAGGAGTGGGAGGGGCGCAGCGGCGGTGCTGGACTTCGGTGTGGGTGCTGGTGAGGCTGGCGGGGCAGTACGTTTTCTTTGGGGTGTAGTCCGTGGTTCGATGTTGTGTTGTTTTAACTGCGATCTGGCTTCTGCGAGTTCTTGCTCAAGCTGCAAAAATGCGATGATTTGCTTGAGGGTCTGAAGTGTCGTCTTTTGGATTCGGTGGGTCGTGTATCAAGCCGATGAGATACTCCATGAACTCGTCGGCCAATGCTGCCATTGCTTGCTTTCTTGTTGGGTTGGGAATGGGTGGGGTGGCACATCGGCAGTGTGCCAGCGCTGCCCGGTCCAGGTCCAGCCTGTGCTGGGTAATGCGTGACAGCAATTCGCTGAGGAACACAGCGTGGGCCACGCTGCGAGTGTAGACTGGATGCGTCTCCAGTCCATGGCAAATGTTGCGCAGCCAATATGAAGACCAAGAGTGTCTTGTGATGGCTCGGATGGGTAGCGTTTCTATGGGGCCGTCTGCTATCCCCAATCGTTCCGACCATGGTGTGCGTCGGACTGTTTTTGGGTAGATCATGTCCGAAGATGACGCGGCAGTCGTGGAAATCTGGCGATGTAACAAAATCGTTGGGAATGGGTGGTGTTATAAATGCCTTTGGCGACGGTTGGTGGTTTGTGGGAGTGTGGTGGAAGGGTGGTTGTGGTGGAAAAGTCGGTGGGTGAAATGGCGTTGATGGCTGTTGGTACGTATGCTGGCGATGTGGTGCGTGTGTGGTGTTGGGTTGATGTTGAATCGCGCTGGATACGGGGCCGATGGGTGGCCTGTATGTGCCTCTGTGTCCCATCGGTGGAGGGGGCGGTGGTGGCTGCATGTCTTCCACCCTTTGTTTTGTTCGTCTGAATGCTGTCCTTGAGCCTGCAAAAGCACGAGATTCAGCTATGCTTTCGGCCTCAAATACTCTGCAGCACGAAAACCGCTTCTTTTGTCTGCATGGCTCATTCAGAATCCGACTTGAAGCAAAGTGAAGTCTTCCTACCGAACACAGCCGAAGGGCATTCCCTTAGGAAACGGCATGGGCAACGATATCCTGCTCTCACTAGCATTTTAGCAGACGCTGTAGAAGTAGGTCGGGTAGGCCGGCGGATGGTGGCTGAAGAAGTGCCACTTGTGGTGACGGTGTCGGGTTGCAGGTCGTCTTCACTTAGAAAGCACTGGGATTGATCGGATTGTTGGCTGCTTGTAGAAGAACTTCTCCTGCGAGTAGCTGCTTGCTTGGCAGCTTTTCGAGGCTGAGTCGAAGGTTTGCTGGCTCTTTTGGTCTTGGTCTTTTTCTTCTTTTTGGAAGTCTGCTGGGAGTCGTCGGTTTTGCACTGTATAGGTTGTTGGATTGTAGAACTGCGTTGTCTTTGTTCCAACAGATCCATAGCTGAGTGCCAGGACGACTCGTCGTCGGAAGCCACGAACCTGTCATCGTTGCGCGGGGTTGGGTGGCTTGAGGTGGGGTCGGGGTGTAAACCTGCAAGGCGCTGGCAAAAGGTCTTTTTCGTCATGCTGTGCGGTTGTAGCCGACAACGACTAGGGCCTTCACCCAAAAATGCCCGGGGTGGCATCCCCATCTGTCGGAAGTTCTGATGATCCCACGGCGGCGAACGATGTAACACTCATCGCTGAGGCTTCCCCAGCTGGATTTATAGTGAGACTGTGTTCCTCGGAATTCTCCTAGGAACATTACGTCCTGCCGTCCTTTGGTTTTTTCAGAAGCTGGGACACGCAGACCTGGAGGGTGTAATCCGAAGGTGGTCCCGGGGTGCTGGCCCCGTAGAGGACGCAAGCCGGCTCCTGCGATGATGGCGGCACCGATGTCGGTCGCAGCCGCCCTTCACGAATGATCTCCGCGGCGCTCTGATAGTCCGTGGATGCACGAACGTATAGCTGTGGATCGCCGGCGGATTCTCCGCCCGTTCCCGCGGCTCTACGCCGAACGGCGTGGCTTCTGGGAAAGGTAAGGAGTTCGATGCCAGGAGCCGCGCGTCGTCGACAGGTATCAGCATTGCAGGATATAACCCGTCGATTTCCAGATACTGGATCCCGCGGATCCCTTCAGCATTTAAGGTGCAGTCCGCTGCATGTAGCATCTGGCTTAAGCTCATCATCTGCTCGTTGGTAAAGCCGGCCATGGCTGCTTCGCCGGCTGCCTCATTTAAGGCATCGGCGAAGTCTTCCGCCGCACTGACCTCGTAGGCGATCATGCGAGGCTTTTCGTTGCTGGGCACCTCTGCCGCTGGTCGTACGGCTCTGCAATAGGGTAGTGGGGTGAAAACGTTGAAAGGTTTGTCGGTGCGTGGTGGGAGTTGCTGTGGATTGTGAGTTGTTGGGTATGTGGATTGTGTGGGGTTGCTCTGGTTCTTGCCACGGGAGGCCGAGTTCATGGTGAGTGCGATGCGTTGGAACTGTTGTCGGAGTGCTGGGGTAGGAGCCGCGCGGAGGTCCACTGCCAATCGTGGTATCGGGCTGCGTCGTGGTGTGCGGGAGCGTGGTGTAGGGGATCGTGGTGTGTACGATCGCGATCTTGGTCTCGAAGAAGATGGTCGCCGGCGTGGGGTGGAGGATCTACGGCGGTGGTAGCGGCGATGTCTGTTGGACGAATGTCGTGTGCTGCGGGAGTGTCGCGTGCGGCAGGTTCTGCGAGACCACGATTGTTTCCTGTCAGACGTGGTCTGTTGTTGTTGTTGGATTGTTGTGATGGGTACTGATGTCGGGTCTGCTGGAAATTGTCCTGGAGGGGGTTGTAGCTGCGGTGGTGCAGGTGGCTGTTGAGTGATCCTGGATGGTGGATGCTGTTGTGTGGGTTGCGTAGGTGGGTATGTCGGCGTGACTTGTTGATGCATGTACGCCGTTGGCATGTATGGGGCTGCAGAGGGATCAATAGCTGGGTGGGGTGGGTGGGCGGGGATTTGGGAGTGTGTGTGCGTGATGGGGTTGGACAGTGGTGGCGGTAGGGGTGGTGTAGTGGACGTGGATGCGGGTGGTTGTGGTGAAGGTTGTGGGGGAGTCTGCGAAGGCAGTTGCGACATGTGTGGCTGAAAAGGCTGTTGGAAAGATGGTTGGATGTGTTGTGGGTGCGGCTGATATTGCACTGCAGTCGTCGTGTTGGGCGGTGTTGTGGGTACATGTTGTGTAGCACGGGGGAATGGGGTGTGTGAGAGTTGGTGTGGAGAAGGTGTTGTCGGGTGTAGCGATGGGTGTGGCTGGGGGGTGGGTACCATGTGGTTTGAGGTTGTGGTGCGGTAGATGGCGTTGTGACGGGTGACAAATGTGTCGGTGTCGATATCATCTGTTGTTGTGTCGGTGGTGCTTGAAATATTTGGCCCAGTGGCTGTGGAGGGCTGAGATGATATTGCATGCCCTGCATGGGTATGTGGTAGTGAGGCAGCTGTGGTTGCATCGGCGCCTGCTGTACCGATGGTGGCTGTTGTTGCCTCGCTGTTGATGGCTGTTGTTGCATCGCTGTTGGCGGCTGTTGGAACTGCTGCACCAATGGTGGGTTTTGTTGCATCGCTGTTGGCGGCTGTTGCACCAATGGTTGCTGTTGCATCGCTGCTGGGAACTGCTGCACCAATGGTGGCTGTTGTTGCATTGGAAACTGCTGTACCGATGGAGGCGGTTGTTGCATGGCCGGTGGAGGCTGTTGGAGCGGTGCTGGCTGCTGTTGAAACATCGGTGTGGCATCTGGGTCCACCGGTGTCTGAGGGTGAAACAGATACATGTTGGGGTCCTTATAAAAGGATCGCCCAAAGTCGCGAAAACTGTTGCTTGTGCAAGTACAGCTTCAGCTAGATCTAGAACATCCGGTCATTGTACGTCTCCAAAGTGCATTAGCAGTTACGTTACCCTAATGCATTAGACCGCATGGCAGATGCAAATGCCGTCCTGCGCAAAGGCGGAATAGAGAAGAGAATCGAATAGGAATAGGCGAGACAGACTAGAAAGCGGAGGTAGCAGCTCGCGCACCGATCACTCTAACAGATGCATATGCCACCCTGCAGATGTCTGGTCCGACTGCTGGACAAGGGGGCCCCGGTGAGCTCAGATGAAGGGGGCTTCGGACTCAAATCGGGAGGCCTCATGACTACATGTTGAACGAGTCCAAGGGGAGAGAGAGAGAGATGGCCCCGAAGGGTGAATCGGATCCCCTTGATCGAGGACTGCCTCCAATGGAGACCACCACGGCGCCGTGACGGATAGCCGTTGTAATCACACTGAGAAAGTGTTCGCGTACTCACGGATGTGATGTTACCATACAAGTTGTCTTGATGCAGTTGTGTGCTGTAGTGTTTTGAGCCTTGTGTGCATGACGGATTGCTGCAACCGTACAAATCAGCTGAAGCACTGCGGATTTCTCATGTGGATAGAAAGCAACAGCGATGATGCACCATATACAGCTTGTGTTACAGGATGTCTAGGACAATCACTTGCAGGTACACCGGAG